GCGGCATAGATCATATTTATATTTTACGGAACTTCTTGTTTCGATAGTACAACTTTGTATTGTACCTACGTTGGCAACCGATAACATGATAACAATCATTGACTTCAAACTAAAAATACCGAGAACGAACAATTTATTTCACCTTGGTGTAAGGAGTTGGACTTTTCAAACTTTATAATTTAATTGTCAATGGACATGCATATATTGGTGCTTAAAATACTTTTTCAACAAATACACTATACATGATATGTAGGTACACTGCCAAAACACAACAATACTTAACACAGTGACGCCGTTCCACGGCAAAGTCCATGAATCTCATTTCTTTAACCGAACTGTCAAACCACAGATCGAATGTCTCAAAGCGCGATTGAAAAATCAAAATCATGTAATATCCTATATACATCACGCAATGATGTCTCGTCATCATAACATTTGTACTTCTTAGTGTCATATCTACATCAGTTAACGTCATATATGCAACACGTGATGTTAAATACTAAAATAGTAATTGTAAAATATGTACATTACAAAATTCGTATAAATGCCACGTTATACTAACGTATTGTTTAACAGCCGGCATATTGTATTCATAGACCTTCACAGATACAAACTATGGAAAAACAACACCAGCAGCCGAATACGGTTGCTACGAATTGAGGTCAAAGTGCGAAAAGGATACCCACAACTCAAGCACACTGTGATGGCGGTATTGACGATGTCGAAAATCTAATCTACATACGAACATGTATATGTGTCGTGTTATGAAAAAACAATGAGAAATTTGATAGCACAGTCGTTAAATGCTGCTAGGTTTAGGTTGCATTAATATTTTATGATCTGCAGAAAACATCTCACTAATCCTTGTTCGCATCATAACGGACCAGTGCGGTTCTTATTCAAGATACTCCTGAAAACGAGTTTGGATGCCTCTCCTAAAATTAAATGTAGTGACTATGAATGAATGCAGCAATGACAATTATGTTTGGTTTCGCCAGCTCTAGTGCTGAACTATTTTAGGATATATGGTCAACTAAAATGATTTAAAATGTTCCATGGTAATAACTACAATAATAAGTGTTATATATAGTATACAATTCGGAAAAGCAACTTCAGGATTTGATACCACTATTTCCTGAGCTGACAATCACGATAGGATTAAATGATCATATCTGTGGATAAATACCCAGAACAGGTACAGATACACAACTAATGTCTAAAGGGTGACATTTTCGCATTTCTCCGTCGAAAGTTGGTTTATATACAACACAAATCCGACAAAAGCTCCATAAAGTGTGTAGCAATTTGCGATACTGGATCTGACAACAACTGATAAAAATCGTTTTTCTAATTTTAATTTTGTCGTCTCTTTTTATCATTCAAACATGCATGACATCGGTTTTGGTCAATAAGCTATGCATTTACCATGTAATTACTTTACACAATGAAGCAGTACAATGAGGTACCATACTGTAACATTTCTAATGATTCGACTCACTCCGATGTCTACAACACAGTCGTTCCCCCAAAAAAGTATCTTTGAACCATAATTACATTAGTAAGGGGCGTCCCACTACATACGGCTTCAGAATAAATTCACACTACTGCATTTTTATATGTGAGTAGAATTATGCATTGACCGTTAGGTCAGGTCTTAAACCGGCACATGACGTATGTCACATTCTATTGATCCACAGGTAATCTAAAACTTATAATATATGTTTTACACGTCTGCTTCTTCATCAATCGATCGTTTACGTTTGTTTCTGCTCGGAAATGCAATGGTGATAACACCCGATTGTGAAGGACGCAGCTCGCATGGATTACACATTTCTGATGATGTTGTATGTCAAGAAATAGAAAAACGTTTGGTAATTACAGAAGAAGTTGAAAAATAACTGTGATGTTGAACATCACTAATGGCGATATCTTCTACACCTAACAATTCTAGGTGAGGTCATGTGACACTTTTTTTTATTATTGAAATAACTTAAGGAAGAATATCAGTACAGGATTATTCATAACAGCTTATATTTCTTGGCCACTTGATAACATAAGGCTACCAACATATCAAACCGCGAGAATGTCATTTTGGATGAGAATGGTAAGTTATGGGTAATCCGTTGTAATTTATCTCGGTTAGTAAAAATTGCCATCTAATTCTAGAGTTATGTACGAATCTTACTGCGTAGTAATAATCCGGTATGAATATGAGGTTATTACCAGGATACCTCAAAGTATGCACGAAGACCGTAAAGCCGCAGTACTGTCTGATTACATCCTTTCTGATACTTCGTAATAGCCTTATTATTATACATATTTTCCTTCCAAGGATACATCATGAGAATGACGGAACCCAAAATATTTAGAACAGATTTGCGTTATGGAGTTGACAGATGTATAATAATAATTTGTATTCGAAACAAGAAGATTATTTTGTTATTCGTATGGATTTTAAATCACCGCTTGATGACTTCATGTATGTGACGTTACTAATTTACCGCTATACAAAGGTTTAACAAAAGCTGCATACATATTTTAATGCATATAGAGTAAATCACACATTCAATGTCATGTGACGAGATCAAATGCACGTAATAATACTACGGGAGGAAATGACATCATTTTAATAAAATATATAATTTAAATTGCTCGTATATTCTAGCGGGATCA